TTATGACCCATATTAGGGGACTTGTAACCCCACTTATAACTACCCATGAACCTCCAAGTACCAGAAGGGACCTAAAGTGACTTTCATAGGGATCCGTCCCAGCACGCCCTGCTCAGGGCCCGCAAGAAAAGGGAACCCCACCGTAGACTCCGATCCGTAGGGTCCCTGTTACCAGGATCCGGGAGTATTTCTACAGGTTTAGTAGGGTTTATTGTTGATGTGGGAGGGTTTGAGGCTTGAGGACCCTAAGCTTTGAATCGTTGCAATGTCCACTTCTGAGCTTTCGCATGGATCGTAGCTTTTCGGCTGGTGTTTGGTGCGTGTAGAAGGCCCCTAAACCCTAAACCCCAAACCCTCGACGATGGTGAATTCTCCTGAGACCTAAACCCTAAACCCTAAACCCTGAACCCTAAACCAAGTCTTAAACCCTACACCCGGCACCTTGAGAGAGCTTGCGGGTCTTTCTTGGGCCTTTCGGGCGCGGTGTGTGAGTTGAGAACTTTCGGTTTGGGCTTTCTCTGGGTGTAGGGTTTAGGGTTTAGGTTTCAGGGCTTAGGGTTTAGGGTGTAGGGTTTAGGGTGGGTGTGGGGTTCAGGGCGATAAGGGCTCCGGGTGTGGTGGCATTGTGGCATTGCACGCCGTAACTTCGTGGGACGGGTTGACTTTAACGACGGGGTCGAATCTTTCTGGTTATAAGTTATAATTATAGCATCCAGCTTGATCTTCGAACTCTACACCTTCAATCCTACATCCGAAACCCTACTGACTAAACCCCGAAGCAGTAATAAAAACCCCAAGCCCTAAACCCCGAACCTCGAAACCCGTTGAAACCCTGAAACCTGACGCCCTAAACCCTAAAGCCTAAACCCGAAACCCCGAAACCCTAAAACCCTCAAGCCACCAAAGCCCCGATGGGTTACCAAACCCTAAACCCCTAAACCCTAAACCCTAAACCCTAAACCCTAAACCCTAAACCCTAAAGCTCGTGGGCATTGCCAAGCGTAGGCTCGCCGAGCTGGCGTCCGAGTTGGACTTTTCCGCCTCCCGGGAGAAAAACGTTGCGAACATGGTTTAGGGTTTAGGGTTTTAGGGTTTAGGGTTTAGGGTTTAGGGTTCTGGTGCATGTTATAAGGCTGGGACAGGGTGTTTATTGGGTGTCTGTAGTTTTGTTATGGAAGGGGTTGTAAAATGACTTCGTGGGAGTTTGATGCGGTCGCAGTAGTAGCAGTGGTAGCAGTAGGAGTAGGAGCAGGAGCAGAAGTAGGAGCAGGAGCAAGAGTAGGAGGAGTAGGAGTCGAAGTGGGAGTTGGAGTAGGAGTTGGAGTGGGAGTAGGAGCAGGAGCTGCTGCAGCAGCAGCAGTGGCCGTGTGGGTAGGAGCAGGAACAGGAATAGGAGGGGCAGGGTCAGGGGCAGGGTCAGGGGCAGGGCCAGGGGCAGGGGCAGGGAGAAGAGAAGGAGGAGGAGCAGGAGTAGGAGGAGGAGGAGGAAAAGGAGGAGGAGGAGGAGGAGGATGGAGGAGGACGAGCAAAAGCTGTCGTCGTCATGGTTGTCGCCTCGTTGCCGTTTTGGTTTTGTTTGCAATTGTGGTAACGTGCACGTGGTATTTTGAGTAAACACAGGAAAACCCTAAACCCTAAACCCTAAACTGTAAGGAACGCATGATCACGAACCTCCTGGAGAAGCTTATTGCAAGACGACTGGTGCTGCCGAACGTTTGGTTCAGACCCTTCCTCAAGGATGACGCTCTGCCCAAGCCTGGGTGGTTTAGGGTTTGGGGTTTAGGGGGTTAGGGTTTAGGTTCAGGGTGGACTCTGACATTCATTTCTCAAACGAGATCCATGCTAGCTTCACTTCTCTTCGGGCTGCCAGTGCGCTTTGAGCTAAATCCGTAAAGCCAGGCTTGTAATAATTGGAGGCAACATGTGCAAGAGTTTGAACCAGATTGTATTTCTTTCGCTGACACCAAACCTGTGAATGTCGGGCTTGGGCTCCAGAATTTACATGGAGTCTCCTGATCAAGGCACCGTACCGGAGGATGCTGACTTTGCCGTGTTGGTGGTTGTCTTGTTAGGATGAAAGCGTGCAAGATGATACCTATGTTGACATGGCATCCATGATTGGACGCAGTTAACTGTTATCTCTTGGATGTTGAACCATTCCCAGTACGATTACCCCCCACCCCCTGCTATTCCCTCTAACATTAGTGTTTTGACTATTTTAATCTTTTCTGTTGTGCCGCTATACCCTAAACCCCTAAACCGTGCATGACTACCGTGGGAAGTTAACATGCTCCTCCGAGAACTATACGCGTAGTTTTCAGACAGGGGTCCCTTTCTGGATCCCCCCAAAACGTACGGCACCCTTGTAGAAGGACCTAGGAGGGACCCTAGTTTAGAGAGCTACCCATATGGTAGTGTAGTTGTCTTCCAAGAAAACACACATGGTGCCGTGCTGGCCACGTAAAACTCACCTCGCGCCCTCTCAGTTTCTCTGCTATATCTGCAGACTCGCGGTAGCAACCGGTAACTGAGGGTTCCTGTTTAGAACTACACATATAACCTGGAGTTTGTTTAATGGTTGTAGCCGGGGTTACACGTCCTCTGATAAGGGTTACATAGGGTTACCATTGTAGTTGCCCTACTTATAACTCCACTTAGAACTACCCATGAGCCTCCAAGTAGTATGCCCTAATCCCTAAACCCTAAACCCTAGACCCTAAACCCTTAAATCATGGTCTAAGGAGGAAGTGGTGGACACAGCCACTCTGCGCGATCCCAAGCCCGTTGGTGTCCTTCGTGTCACTGAGGCTTGGCTTCAGCTTACGACTGTTCGAAGCTTTAGGGTTTAGGGTTTAGGGTTTAGGATGATGATGGTCATCAAGACTCGTTTTTGTGGAAGTGATGCTATCCGAGTTACCATGGCCTCAACTCAGAAGCCTAAGCCAATTACAAACTCGGCTCGGGTGGTCGAGTGAAGAGCCACACCGCTCCTGCTCCATTAATTGGTTTCTGCTTGCACCAAACTTCTTGTCCGTATTGCCATGGTCATCGCCGCCTACTTGCCTTTAAAATCACGATTTGTTATAGTTTGTCGCGCTGCTGCCGTTCGTGGCAACGACGATGAATGTGAGGAGATTAAGGGTTAACTTGACTGCACTATATTTCAGCATAAAGCTGTTTAGTGTCGCCGCCAGTTCAATTGACGATTGTCGCGGCATTGTCATTTCCGCGGTGCTTGTCGTTGACCTTGCCAGCTTCGATCATGATGATGATGATGATGATGATGATGATGATATTGACGATGACGATGAGGAGGATTATCACGAACGTGATGATGAATATGATATGACTATGATGTCGACGATCATGAAGATCATGGGTGTGAAGGTGGTGGCGGTGGTGGTGGTGGTGGCGTTGATCATGACGATTGGATGACGGGCACGAACATTCTGTTGGCTTGTACGATTAGGATGGCGTGGTTGTTCTTAGTGATGTTGTCGATAGCGGCCATGCTTATGTTGTAGCTGATTGTTAGCAAGATGATGATCGTGGATGATGGTTAGTTTCTTCCCCTCTTTGCGGTACTACGTAGTATGAAACTGATTCCACTCACTTCAAGGGCACTCCTGCATCGATACAGTTCCCTTGTCCTGAAACCCTAAGCCCTCAAACCCTACACCCTAAACCCTAATATAGCGGCTTAAATAATTTCCTCTACTATATTTGGGGTTCCTTATTATAGTTATAGTGTAATATAACCCAAAACCCTATTCTAATTTTTACGGCCCGTACGTTAAACCCTCCCGGTGTGCCCCAAACCCTAAACCCTAAACCCTAAACCCTAAACCCAAAACCCTAAACCCAAAACCCTAAACCCTAAACCCAAAACCCTAAACCCCAGGCTATCGAGGCCAAGGACCTCTACGCCAATGACATCAACCTCTTCACAGACCGGACGAGCGATCCATACGTCCGAATCCGCCTGGCCGACGACGCCGCCGGGCGGGTTTAGGGTTTAGGGTTCAGGGTTTAGGGTTCAGGGTTTAGGGTTTAGGGTTTAGGGCTGTGGGAGATCTTGCGTTTCAGGTGTAAGGCGAAGTGCACCGTGAGTAATGCCATGTGATTATTGTTTTCAGGTGTAAGGCGAAGTGCACCGTGAGTAATGCCATGTGATTATTGTTGGTGTTCTTGATCGTATGATTATTTTCATTAATACTGTTACTTTATATGCAAAGTCATATGAGTCATTATCATTATCAGTATTATGCTCAGTATCTTTACTGCTATTATTGTTGTCGGTATCATCGTCATTACTATTACTATTGTAATGTTGTAGTTGTGGGACTTTAGGACCCGCCCGCAGGACAGGGCATGCATTTCAGGGCTTCTCGCTTATCAACACGAACTCTCCGAAAACGGGTTGGGGTTTAGGTCTTAGGGTTTAGGGGTCTAGGGTTTAGGGTTTTGGGTTTAGAGGTTCGGGTTTAGGGGTGTAGTGTTTTGAGTTTAGAGGTTTGGGTTTAGGGTTAACGAACCATGATCGACAAAAAGTGTCCTATGATGGCAATGTGTACAACCCAAACGCCACAGATTCCTTATTCTTCTGGTAATCCTTTTACCCGCGAGGAGCAACCCTCATGGAACCTCTGTCAGGAACCCGTATAGAACCCAGAAAATAGCCCATGGAGGAGCTCGGAAGCAATCCAGAAAGATGTTGGGGTTGAGGGTTTGGGGGGACTTTACATACTTCGAGGCTGAAGGTTTGAGGTCTTTCGATTCAGAGTTCAAGATTTACAGTGGGGCTTAGGGTTTAAGGTTTAGGGGGCGCAGGGTTCTGGAGAAGACGACAGCAGCAATCATCAACAGCTCGAGGAATGGAAGTCCAAGCACCGGGACAGTACTTGCAATCCCAAATGGGTCGCGGACCCTGATGCGCAGCTCAGCCGAATGTGATATGTAGGATAGTATGTAGTCCCGAAGGGGTAGATTCCATCAACCAGGGCATAGACATACAAGAACACAAGTTACGAGCTCAAGAGGCCATAGACCTTAAACCCTATAGGGTTTTAGGGTTGAGGGGTTAAGATTTGGGGTTCAGGGTTTAGGGTTGTAGGGTTCAGGGTTTAGGGTTGGAAGCGTGGCTTAGAACTCCCGTTCGTTTTGGTGATTTCGCAGGATCTTGCAATCAGGAGTACACAATCGGACGAGTGGGCTCAGTATTATAAGGGCCTAAATAATGACCAATGCTATTTTTGGGGCTCTTCATTATAACTATAGACAAACATACCCTAAAGCCCCATTCTAATTTTTAAGGCCTCTACATTGCAGCTGTGGTTGCTGTTCTTCTAGCTTTGATTGATGACCCCAGGGTTTGCAGGTCCAACCTGATTCCGGTTAAAGTAAGGACTATAAGCCCTAAACCCTAAACCCTAAACCCTAAACCGAATGTGATGGAGCTGTTCGGAATTCAGAGGAATTCGTCTTCCCTCATGTGTTTGATCTCGCGTAAGTAGTGGTCCGCTTTGGGCAATTCCGTCCCCGCCCAGGTAGACCCGCCTTTTTTGAGCCAAGCCCTGTCGACACCCAGAGAGCCTGATAGCCCTTGAATGAAGAATATGCTTCAAATCCCAATAAAGAAATCACTTATCATTTAGACTGTATCCCGTAATTAAGAGGTGTTGGTCTTTCTGGGAAGGGAGATCATAGCAATCGCGGGGACGTGGTTGAGGGGGTTTCGGCGAGTTTTGAAGTTGTTTTTGGCTTTCGAGCTCAATCCCTAGATCCTGAACCCTGCACCCTATTCCGTGAAGCCTAGACCCTGAAACCTTAACCACTGGAGGCTGGCGACTGGTGACGTTACCGTCTCCGAAGAAGAGCGGCATGACTTCTTGGTTTATGACCCTCGCCTCATGGATCTTGAAAGGCAAAGTTGTAAGGCTTCAGGCTAATGTAGGAGCCTTAATAATTTGAATAGGGTTTTGGGTGGTTTCTTATTATACTTGTAGTAAAATATGCCGCAAAACCGCATTCTAATTAAGGCCCCTATATTATGAGGTTTAAGGGTTCAGGGTATGAGCCCTTCCTACGCCCTAAACCCTAAACTTCAGGGCTGTTGATCTAGGAGGTCGTGCCACTGAAGAGGTTCTCTCTGAATCTTGGGCGGAATCAATAGGAGAGTCTAACTATGAAGACTCCTCCACCTTGAAATATCCCTGATGTAAGATTTGTAGATCCCTTTAAAGGAAGCTGATTCTAATCATTAAGGCCCCTATACTACACCCTCGTAAAAAACCGTATCGTAGCCCTTATATAAGGAGCCCGTTGACGGAACCTAAACCCTAAACCCTTAAAGGAGCCCTATTCCAGGAAGGAATCAAGCCAGTACCATCAATGCGCAGGATGTGGGTCAGACACTTCGCATTGAAGTCTACGACTGGAACGAGTTCCAGAGTGACGTTCTGCCACTCGGCATATTCCATATTCAACCCTAAAGTGCTATTTTATATCAGTTTAGGGATCCAGTTTGGTTGCTGCTTCGTTCACCACTGTCAGCGAGATGTCGTGGCCGTCCGTTCTGCGGGTGCAGCTGAGGGGCAGGGGCCTTGCGATTCATGGCTTCGTGGTGTTTGCCCCCAGGGTTGCGGCACTGCATCAAACCCTAAACCCTAAGCCCTAAACCCATTCTTCAGCATCACCATAGCCATCGTCATCATCATTGTCACGCAACAACGACTCCACGACCATCATAACGACCATCATCCGACAACATCATCCCGTCCCGTTACCATACTCATCTCGGTTTCGATCATGATAACTGTGAGGTTCATGATGATGATGATGATGATGACGATGTTTACGGTAATCAGTAGTCTTTATCGCACCACTCTCTTTTTGTGTCCGGCTCAGTTCATCCTTGGCTCAAAGCCTCAACAGCATCCACAAGTGCTTCGCCAATTTTTGCCGAAGCTCAACTGAGGATCGGACGCTCGATTCACATCTCCGTGCAGGACGCTCTGGCGAAGTCAAGGAGTGACGGCACAAAAGTCCAACTTCAGGGTTTAGGGTTTAGGATGGTCTAGGGTATGGGGTAGTTTTAGGTTTTTTGAGGGGTTTCGAGTTTAGGGTTTATCAAGAATCCTCAAGCTTCGATGCTATGAAATCCAAGCTTCTGGAAGGAAGTGGATCGAGCTGAAGCAGAAGGACGACAAGCCCGGCGGTCACCTTCAGATGACCACTGCCGAAAATAGATCATAGAATCCTTACAGTACCCTTCTAGAAACCCTATAGGAACCCTCACAGACCCCTTCAAAGAGCCTTAAAAGGGCCCACCAATAGAAGAAGCTGTCCAGTTGAGGCTTTCGGGGTCGAAGGATTCAGCTTCAGGAGCTGGGCGGAGGGCAAACCCTGAACCTTGAGATCCGAAACCTTAAGGCCCAAACCTTTAGGGTCCCAAATAGGGTTTAGGGTTTAGGGTTTAGGGTTTAGGGGTTTAGGGGTTTAGGGGTTTAGGGTCCCAAATAATTACCAATATTATTTTCGGGGTTCCTTCGTGTACTTGTTACTATACAGAAGCCCAAAACCCTATTCTAAGCATTAAGGCAACATATTACACCCTAGACCAGTAAGCCCCAATGCCAAAGCGAAAGTGGGACTGAGGGGCTAGGTTTAGAACATACATGGCCTTGCCTTTCGGGGGTTTAGAGTCGGCAAGCCATAAGGCTTAAATGTTGCTTAGCTATTTAGGGTTTAGGGTTGAAGGACCATGCGACTTAGTGACTTTGGTTGTAAACAAGGCAACTATTGTTGTTGTAGTTACTAATACCCCCGATTAAGGTACTTATGACCTTGCTTACTAAGTCCCATGATCCCCCAAGCCCTAAACCCTAAACTCTAAACCCTAAACCCTAAAGCCTAAACCCTAAAAGCCCTAAACCCCTAAACTAGAGTCCCCCACAAAACTAGCATCCCAAAGCAGAAGATCCTACAGCCGGATCCGCAACCGGCGGCCTAAACCACCCTAGACCCCTTTGTCCGAGGGCAAACTAGAGGGATTCAGGGTTAGGGTTTAGGGTTTAGGGTTTAGGGTTTAGGGTTTAGGGTTTAGGGTTTAGGGTGTAGAAATTCGGCAATAAGATCCCTGATTGTTTTGGTCATTTGCATCAAAAAAACTCTTCTTCCTTCCAGGCTCGCATGTTAAACCCTGAGCCCTCAAAAACCAAGGCAGTTCGACTGGCTGAAGGTGGTGCAGGACAGGGTTGTGGCTTCCCGAAGTCCTTCGATTTCCTAGGCTTAGGCTTTGGGATGGAGGGCGTGGGGAAAAACGGATGGATGAAGGTACCTTCTGTGAGAAGCCCTAAACCCGAAACCGACGCCCTAAGCCCTAAACCCTAAACGCAGAAAGCCCTGGGAGCCCTAAGCGCGGCATGTCCTTCAACCCGAAAGCCTCGTCCCCTTGAGCCCCAAACCCTCCGCCCCACTCGTAGTTCAGAGCTCTCCCTGTTACGAGGAGAGCGTCGGGCCCTTGAACCAAGAAGACGACGCCTGCATGGTCAGACTGAAGATCGATGAAATCCATGTGACCCTGGACTGCTTTGGAGTACCGGATTCACAGCCGAGTTTCGTGATTCGAGCTTCGGGTTGCGGCTCGGAGGTGTTGCTGAAAACCCTCAGCCCTAAGCCTCATATCCTAAATATCTTTAAGCCCGAAGCCATAAGTCGCAATCGATCCCTAAACCTTAAACCCTGAACCCTAAACCTTAAGCCGTAAACCGACCTTGAATTCCCAGACCCCGGCCCAAAGAGCATCGCAGCCACGAGCTGAAACCTCCGCCTTGTCTGTCCGATGTTGATTCGGGGCTTGCCGGTTTAGGGTTTGGGGTTAGGGTTTTGGGTCGGTAGAGTTCAGGCGGCTGGGGATCAGTTCGTTGGCATTCGGGGTCTTCGGGTTTATGGCTCAGCAACTCCACGAGGCATTGTCAGAGATTGCTTTGGTAGTTGTGGTTTTCAAGGAGTGGGGGCTTCGCTTCAAAACTCACGGTGTAGAGTGGTTTAAGTCTTTTGTGGTTGGGTCCCTGTGCAAGAAACTCGAAATGAATCCTTTGCAAGTATAACATAGGAGCCTAAATGGTTAGAATACGGTTTTTGGGGCCTATTATATTACATGTCTAATAAGAACGCCCCCCCCCCGAAATAGTATTAATAATCATTTAGGCCCCTACATTACCGCCAGCAAACTTCCCACCAACATGAACCTCGTAAGCCTCTTCAGAACAAGCCCTCCCAAACGTAAAGCACCACGGCGTGGCGGGGTCACAGCAATGCTTGCTTTGCAGGTTCTCTGGCTTTCGGCGTTCAGCATAATATAGAAGCCTAAATAATTACCGATACGACTGTTAGGGTTTATTATTATTATAGTACATGTACCCCCAAAACCCTATTCAAATTATTAAGGTCAGAGGTGTCAGGCTTTAATGATTTAAGTTAAACCCTAGAGGCCGCAAGCAGCACCGAATATAGGGGCCTAGATAATTACCAATACTGTCTTGGGGGTTCCTTATTCTAATTATATCGTAACATACACCAAAGCCCTCTTCTAATTTTAAGGCCCTCTACCCTAAACCCTTATGGTAGCCCTTATAGAACCCGTCAAGGAACCCTGTAACAGAACCCGAGAAGCCCGATTCTAACTATTAAGGCCCCTATACTATCATGGTCTGCTTTCCTTCACCCGCCCAGGCCAGAAGACGTTGCCTCTTGGCCGCAGGAAGTGGGTCGTCAGACTAGGCTCTGGGGGACTTGCCCTAAAGCTGATGTGTGTATGTAAGTAGGTGAAAGACACATACCTATATATCAAAACCTTAAAACTCGCATATAGTATGCAGGACTTGGTATCTGGAAGCATTCCGCACACATTTATATCTTTAGATTTCCGACTTTTTTGTCTGTAGGTGCGCAGGTTTGGCTGTGTTTACGCGGTCTTGGGCGCATTCTGAAGCAAGACCGGAATATTCAGTAGTTCTATTCCTGCACAGTCCCTACACCCTAAACCCAATGTAATTGTGCGGTAAATGTCCGCCGAAACCCTCGATGCTCTGCTCCAACCCCGGTGTGAACCAGGACCTGCTATATGCAAAAGTCGAGGCACAGGGCTCTGTCAGAGTTTGATGCAGTTTTTGTTTTAGGATGTAGGGTTTCGGGGGAATTCGGAACTAGAGGGGTTTAGGGTTGTTTGGAGGCGTGAGGGTCTGATCGGTGTGTGTGTGTGTGTGTGTGCAGGATCTTCGATGACCCTTCGCGCTACCTGTCTTTTCAAGGGACTTTGTAGGGGTGTCATATTGAAGAACCCCGACATGCAGGGTTTAGGGTTTAGGGGTTTAGGGTTTAGGGGGCAGGCGTGTCCTGAAGCAATCGTCGGGTGATTATGGATGGCGGAGTCCTTGTGTCCTGTAGTAGCCGGTAGTACCTCACGGGCTTGCAGGGGAAGATCGGTTCATGAGATTTGCGTCTTCATTTCCATCATCTTCAGGTTGTGCATTGTAGTAGCCGTAAGCCCAAAAGCCTAGCACCTAAACGCTGATGCCAAAAATCCGGATAGAGATACACGTATGTTATCCAGATGCCCAGCGAGCGCAGGTGAAGTTCCAGGAGGTGTTCAAAGCATCAACGCCGGATACCCACCTCAGCAGCCCCTTCGGCTCAAGCTTCGGGTTCCTTCATGGAGTCATCCGAGGGTTGCTCAAAGTTAAGGGGTTCTCTCACGGATTCTACAAAGGGTTACTTGAAGGGTTCCTCAAAGAGGTTGTTTGAGTTTGGGGGTTGAGGTTTTAGGCGTGAGGTCTTGCAACAGGAGTAAGCACGATCCTGCCAAGGCCCCGCAAGTACGTAAACGTAAGCAAGCGCAGAAACCGGCTGCGGTTTTAAGGGTCGCTGCTTGGATTGATGGTGGCCCACCCAACTCCAAATTTTCGAGTATGAGGAAACGATCCGGTCCGGCTCTTCTTCCGAGGCTGTACCGCAACCTCAACTGTGCGAGAGAGAGAGAGAGAGAGAGACAGAGGGCGTTTGGGCTCAAGGTGTTGTGCTTGGGGCTTGAGGGCCGGATGTGGCTGTTGTGGAGCTGTCGGACATCCTGTGATGGGTTTCGGGTGTAGGATGTTCGGCTTAGGAAGGCGTACTTGGAGGTTCGTGGGTAGCAAGAAGTGGGGTTAGCAAGTAGGATAACCAAAAGTATATCCCACATTAGGGGACTTAAAATCCCGCTAACAAGTACCCTAAACCCAACCGCTAACCTAAACAGAAACTTTACAGGAACCCGGCGATGAACCTCCAAGTAGGATTTTAGGAGTCCACGAGGCCATGCTGTGGTGACGGAAACGGGCATCAGCAGCGATGGCGAGAAGGAGAAGCGCTTGGATGTGGAGTTCCGTGACTGCAGTTAGGATTTAGGGTTTACTAGGGTTATAAATAAAGTAGCGATAACACAAACCCTAAACCCTGAACCCAGCTAAACCCCGCTCGCAAATTGATACAGCTCTCCCAGCCGCGTTTGAGGTACGTCCTCTGCTTCCAGGCCGGCACCTCTGTGTTCGGTGGAAGCCTCGATCGGTTCCGGCTAGGGGGTTTCGGGGTTGTGGGTTTCAGGGTTTAGCCTTAAATCCAAATCCCTAAACCCTAAACCCTAAACCCTGAGCCGTAAACCCTAAGCCCTAAGCCATAGGCCCTAAACTTGAAACCCGAAACCCTAAGCCCTAAGTCCTAAGCCCTAAGGCTGCGACTTTGGGGCTCCCAACTCTGGATCCCCCCGGAGACGCAGGTGTCCCGCAGCGCTGCGGAGACGGAGCCTCTGCAGATTTCCATCATCTCCAATGAAAAGGCGCCTAAACCCTCAACCCTCAGAAAGAGCCCCATTAGGGTTTAGGGTTTAGGGTTTAGGGTTTAGGGTTCATCTCCAATGAAAAGGTGCCGAAGCCCTAAGAAAGGACCCCCAAAACTCTAAGCCCGAAGCCCTACACCCTAAACCCTAAGCCCTAAACCCTAAACCCTAAGCCCTAAACTAAACCCTAAGCCCTAAGAAAAAACCCCAAAACTCACCCCAAACCCCTAAAGTAAGGCTTACACCTTAAACCCTGAACCCTTAAACCCTAAAGCCGTAAACCCTAAGCCTTCTGGGGTTTGCCGGGTCTTGAGGTTCATCTTTGCCTGGCTCGTCTGGAGTGAAGGGCGTCAGGGTTTAGGGTATTAGGGTTTAGGGTTTAGGGTATAGGGTTTAGGATTGGAGTCATGGGCGTCAGGATTAGGGTTTAGGGTACAGGGTTTTTGGGCTTCCCCTTAGGGCTCCTTTAAGGGCTTTTTTGATAAGGGTTGTATCAGATCGCGGAGCTTACCCAAGAAAGGGGCCTTCAGCCGACATCTCTGCCCCTACTTGGAGGTTCATGGGTAGTTAGAGCTGGGGTTATAAGTCCCCTGTAAAGGATCCCTTGAAGGAGCCCTTGAAGGATCCCTTAGAGGAGCCCTTAGAGTCCTTAAAGGATCCCTTAAAACGGAGCCTTTAAAGGAGCCCTTAAAGGGGAGCCTTTAAAGGATCTCGCATGGGTTATGATTACAGTCCCACGCCCTGAACCCCAAGTCCGAAGAGACCCCACGGACCACAGCCAGGTGGCGGTTTAGGGGTTTAGGGGTTTAAGGGGTTTAGGGGTTTCTGGGTTTAAGGGTGTAGGGTTTGGGGTTTAGGGGTTTAGGGTTTAGGGGTGTAGGGTTTGGGGTTTAGGGTTTAGGGTTTCGGCGGGGCTGCACATCTGAGAGACCCCCACAGGGTGTTGGAAAGCCTTGCTCCTCGTCGAGCCGCCGGCGCAGGCAAAGGCCGCGAGAACCCACAACCTGACAATCCATCCCAGCTGCTCATTTTATGCAAAACTGCGAAGGGAAGCAGAGAGCACAAAAGCCCCCCTTGAGGGGGGTTAAGGGGCTGAGGCCTAACACTAATTAATAGTTGGGGTGGTTGGGGCGGGAGTACATGCTGACGCAAGCGCACGATAAGTGGGTGCGCCTCCGTTCCTGAAGAAGCGCACCCACCGCCCGCACACTGAATACACACCCCCTCAGCCCTAAGACCGCAAACCGTAAACCCTAAACCCTAACCCCCTATAAACCCCTAAACCCCTAAACCCTAAACCCTAAACCCTAAACCCTAAACCCTAAACCCTAAACCTTAAGCCAGGCGGTGGTGGCGACGGGGGAGTTGGATCTCCGTGAGGTCGTCGCCGAGGGCGGCACCAAGGAGTGGCCTCAGGAGGATCCCATGCGACCCGCCTTTTATAGTTTTAAGAATGGTTTAGGGTTTAGGGGTTTAGGGGTTTAGGGTTTAGGGTTTAGGGTTGTAGGGGTTTGTTGTGTTATTGCTTCTTGGTTTTCAGAGTTTTAGGTGATTGTTGTCTGTTTCTGCCTGTTTTTCAGCGAGTGATGGGATAGGGGGTTTAGCAGGGTTTCTTGGGCAGGTTAATGGGGTCTGCCCGGTTTAGAATTCCAAGCCGGTTTCAGGGCTAATTACGATTCTGCGTCTGGTTGATGATCTTCCGTTCAGGTCTTGAGGCTTGCAGGTATTCCGTTGAACGGTTGACAACATGTCCACGAGCTGCAGGTACTTCTTTCTAGTGTTTAGGGCGGCACTCCGGTTGTTGTGAGGTATCGTTAGACCGTGGGCACCTTAAACAAAACAGCTAGGGCAGTCAGGAGCAGTGCGGCAGTGCCGTAGGTGGATCCCTGTCTGTGGAGGCCCCTACACAGTCCCCTCACAGATTTTCGCGAGTCCTTCGGAAGTTACAGGGAGCGCCCCGTCCGATAGTGCCGATTCTCGGAACTCTGTTAGACCAATGCGAAAGCCGAACTTTGAGCTCCCTCAGCCAAGGCTCTTGAAGAGACCGCGTGAAGATAAGAACGTGATCTCAGACTTCCTGTCGTCGAATCCGAGTCAGGACACAAGCGCTCGGATTTTGCAGGGTTTCTGCAACTGCAACGGGCATTCGGAAAGCCTGGATTCCACCGGAAAACAGAGCCTTCTCCACGACCCAGCACCAACAACATCCTTAGTCCAAGCTGCCTGGGCAGCTCGAAGCCCCAACCGATGCTAACTCTAACCAATGCACAGAGGCCGCCCGAAATCTTAGAGGTGAACCTGCAAGCCGTCTCGGAAGGTTAAAGAGCTTGTATAACTCTCGCACTGCTGCAGGAACTTACAAAGTCAGATCTAGAACCCATCATATCCTAGTGTTTACGGTTTGGGGTTTAGGGTTTAGGGTTTAACCTTACACCCCTCGAAGTTTCACCACAACTTTCAGAAACTTGTCGTTTGTCGCAGGACGAAGAGAACAAGGCCACGTCTGCGAGATTTAGGCTCCAGAGTCTCGCTCGAGCTACTCTATGACAGCATTGAAGATCGTTATTATAAACTAGAATCATAGTCACATATCGAAACAATAAGAATGACCGTAATATCTGTTGTAAACGTAGTCGTAATAGGTATGCAGTAGTAGTTGTAAATTGAAGATGCCCGCGCAGCCAAGAACCCCAAAAAACCCTAAACCCTAAACCCTAAATCCTAAACCCTAGACCGCCCCAAAAACCCTATCTAAGCCTATCACAAACCTCACGAGAACCAAGAGACCCTGCCCTGGGCACTTGGAGGCACCACCCTTGCGGGCTGAAATCTCTGTGTCGGCCTGGGCCCAAAGAGAGTGTGAGAGGTCATAGAGGGCTTAGGGGTTTGGTTTTTAGGGGTTTAGGGTTTATCAAGAGTTTAGGTTATGCTTTTCCTCTTGGGTTTCGGTTTTGGTGAGCCTGGTTTTTCTTTGTAATTTAGTGCGGAGTTCCCGGCATAGGGGCGCCACAGTAGCTGTCTCCAGCAGGGGCTTTGATGATGTCCCTCCCCAGCACTCGATGGCACCCAACATCTTGAGCCCCCTTAACAAGCCCCAGAACCCTGAACCCCAAACCCTAGAACCCTGAACCCCAAACCCTAGAACCCTATGCCCCAAACCCCAAACCCCTAAACCCCTAAACCCTGTCTTTCCTTGTTGTTGGGACCCTAAACCCTAAACCCCAAACCCTAGAACCCTAAACCCCAAACCCCCACCCCTAAACCCCTAAGCCCTGTCTTTCCTTGTTGTTGGGAGCCTGGGATGCAACAGAAGGCTGTCTGGTGCTTAGTAGGGAATGGGGGAATGGATTCCCCTTAGGGTCCAACCCTAAACCCTAAACCCTAAACCCTAAAAGCCTAAAGGTCCCTTCTTGTAGTCCCTATAACCCATCCCCCCATTCCCTACTAAGCACCAGACAGAAGGTCATGGGCCTGGTCCCGGTCCCCACGAAGACAGCGATCGCCCACATGAGGAGCCTGGAAGTGTGTTTTTTTTAGGGGTTTAGGGGTTTAGGGTTTAGGGTTTCGGTCAGTTGGGCGAATTTACGTGTAAGCCGAGCTTGTTACGAACATTGTTCTTTCGGGTTCCCCAAGGATGATTTTTATGTTGGTGAGCCCGAAAGCACCCTTCCAATCTTGAGGGCCCTGCATTACAAGGTCTAGGGGTTGGGCTTGGTGCTTATTTCTGATTGTGGATGTGAGCTTGGAGCTGGCGTGATCCATGAGGCACTAGCTCTATTAGATAAATTGGATGATCTAGTATCGCAAGTTTCTGCAATAAAGTAACGCTGCCGTTGGTAATTTCTGTTCCGGAAGCCACTTTCCCGCATGCCCGCCATGAGGTTGGGACCAGGTGCTGTCACTAGCAATGTTGCTGTAGAATGGCTGCTGAGTTGGTGTTTTCTTGTAACGCCTTTTTTCCTCGATCTCCATATGATCCATATTTGCCAAACTTTCACTAGGGAGTGAAAGGGTTATTCGCACCCTTGCCGGTACCCTTAAAGCAACCCTATCAGATGGACCCCGGACGCCAGGAAGCGGCGAATGCAAAGCCCCAAGGCGGGCATCCCTCCTTTTCGCTTGAGTTGGCTAAGGGTTTAGGGTAAACCGGGTTCAGGGTTTCGGGTTTTAGGGTTTAGGGTATGTAGGGTTCAAGGTTTGGGGTTACGCTCTGGGTTGATTCGGGCTTATCCGAATCCTGAGCTGACCCGCGCCACATCCTCCACTTGAAAATCCTGGTAAGCCTGCAAGCTGGAGCCCTCCCGTGGCATCAAACATGGCTTATTCCTTGGGTTAGCTAACCCGGTCATCATCATCATCAGCATCATCATCATCATCATCATCATCAACACCATCACCATCACTACCATCATCATCATCATCATCATCACCATCACCATCACCTTCACCACCACCACCACCACCATCATCATCATCATCATCGTCAGCATCGTCACCATCATTAACATCATCACCATCCTCATCATCACCATCACCATTACCATCATCATCATCATCGTCATCATCATCATCATCATCATCATCACCATCACCATTACCATCATCATCATCATCATCATCGTCATCATCATCGTCACCACCACTACAATCATCATCATCATCATCACCATCACCATCACCTTCACCACCACCACCACCATCATCATCATCGTCAGCATCGTCATCATCATCATCATCATCATCATCATCACCGTCATCATCATCATCATCATCATCAACATCAACATCAACATCAACACCATCAACATCAACATCACCAGCATCAGCATCAGCATCTTCATCATCATGATCATCATCATCATCATCATCATCATCATCATCTGCATCTGCATCTGCATCTGCATCATCATCATCAAAAACTACGAGTATCAGTGATAACTCAGAGATAATCGCTAGCATTGTGTGCATTGACATGGCTCCTGGCATGTATATCATTGCATTGTGTTCATCGTCATGACAATTTTTTCTCAGTTGTGTCATTATTCTTGACACGATCAGTTCCTTGCGATCTTGAACCCCGTAGTTTGGCACTCAAATACCGACATTCGAACCCGCCGAAAAAGCCTTACTCCTTCACCCCAAACCCCAGCAATCCGAAACCCTGCCCTCAATCCCGAACCCTAAACCTTCAATCCTAAACTCTAAACCCCTCTTAAAGAAAAAAACTGAGCCCCCAAAAGCCCGCAACCAGCCCTGGCTCTTGCAGAAACCGACCGCTCTAAGTTCAGGCATTTCCCACTGCGTCTTCGACTTTCTCGCATACCATCCGCAGCTTCGCGAGGACGGCGGACGAACAGCCTCTCGTGCATCCCGGCTTGAGGGTTCGGGGCTTAGGGTTCAGGGTACCAGCAAAGCTCCAAATCTTAAGCACCCATGCAGCCCCAATTAGTATCTGCACCTGAAACCCACACATTCTGCAACCTTAACGCGCTAAGCATCACTAAACGCTTCAAGTCTAAACGCAAGAAGGCTGGCTTGAAGAGCCCAGGAACCGGGACACGACGAAGTGCACCGGGTCGGTGGAATCGCTGGCACCCTTGGTTGCAAGTGCTGGGTCCTTGTTGGATACAGTTTTACACTTTTGTTATAGTAAAACGCAATAAGTATTAACAGTGATCGTTTTGAATATAGCCCCAACAGGAAACCAGAGTGGGTGTTTGAAGGCGACCAAGCCGTTTTGGGGGGGTTTTCCGTTTAAAGGTCTTACTGTGAGGGTCTGGGCTTCAGGGGGTTTCTGGTTTAGGGTTAGGTTTCAAGGGTTTAAAGGTTGCGAGTTTGGAATTTCAGTTGCATCTGCACTTTCCGCAGCTGCGGGATACAAGCAAGCCATCAGTTGCATTCGGTGTTGAGCGTGTGGTTCCCTTTCTTTGCAATCAGATGCAGCGCAGGTGCGCGCAGGGATCAGCTGACGCCTGGTCGGTAGTCATGTAGGCCTGAAGAATTAGGCTAGGGTTTTGGGGTACATGGTTACAGGATACGAAGGGCATTCAGACCTCTTCATTATGAGGTTCTTGCGGCTCGAGGTCAATATTGAGGGTTTCGGACCGTGATCTACACCCGACGCCCTAGATTTCCTTTGGGACCCTCACCCCTCGATTGTAGAATCTCGACATCCCCACCCTCAGTACCAAGTTCACGGTCCTTTGGCATGGACCCTACCTTAACCTACCAAACCCTACCTTTCTGTAGGGTCCCTATAAATACCATATTAGGGTTTGTAATAAAAGCCTACAAAAACGTAGGGTTTGGTGGTATAAGCTAGATTCGTAGTCGACCTTATTATTTATTCTCTGCTATACTGCATCGTAGAACATTGATGAGTTGCTGCGAGTACCGCTTTGCCACGAGGACTGTACCCTGGAACGCGAATGGTAAGCTACCCCATCCACCATGACAAAAAAATGTCTGTTGTAGTGTTGGTGGCCTAGGACTAATTTAACCCTAAACCCTAAACCCTAAACCCTAAACCCTAAACCCTAAACCCTAAACCCTAAACCCTGAGGGCTGGTGTAACCCTCCACCCGAAGGACTGGTTCAACACCTTCTTCGCCCGGTTATGGCCGAAGATTGCAGCATATGTGCAAAAGCTCATGGAGGACCGCTCTGCTGTCGGGAGTTCACAGAGTCCAATATCCCTAAACCCTAAACCCTAAACCCTAAACCCCCTCATCCCCACTAAACCCTAAACCCTAAACCCCCTAAGCCCCCGAAGCCCTGAACCCTAAACCCCCTAAACCCCCGTCTCTAAACCCTAAACCCCTAAACCCTAAACTCTAAACCCTAAACCCCCTAAACCCTAAACCCCTTAAACCCTTAACCCTGAACCCCAAACCCTAAACCGCTAGACCCCCTAATGGAGGGAATCTAGCGATGGGCTGCCGGGGTCACAGAGAGAGCCGTGAGTCGAAGATCACCCCTTTTTAAGCTCAAGACCCCTCAACTCTAAACGGGTTTAGGGCTTTAGGGCTTTAGGGGTTTAGGGGTTTAGGGTTCGGGGTTTAGGGGTTTAGGGCTTTAGGGGTTTAGGGGTTTAGGGTTTCGGGGTTTCGGGGTTTAGGGGTTTAGGGTTCGGGGTTTAG